TATAATACTCCCTCTTTAATACCCCAGAGGTATAATACTCCCCTTAATACCCCCAGAGGTATAATACTCCCTCTTTAATACCCCACAGAGGTATAATACTCCCTAAAACCCCACAGAGGTAATAATACTCCCTTTAATACCCCCCAGAGGTATAATACTCCCTATAATACCCCCAGAGGTATAATACTCCTATTACCCCACAGAGGTATAATACTCCCTAAAACCCCACAGAGGTATAATACTCCCTCTTTATTACCCCACAGAGGTATAATACTCCCTAAAACCCCACAGAGGTATAATACTCCCTACAACCCCACAGAGGTATAATACTCCCTCTTTATTACCCCAGAGGTATAATACTCCCTCTTTATTACCCCACAGAGGTATAATACTCCCTCTCCAGAGGCCTTATAATACCCCACAGAGGTATAATACTCCCCTTAAATACCCCACAGAGGTATAATACTCCTCTTTATTACCCCAGAGGTATAATACTCCCTCTTTATTACCCCAGAGGTATAATACTCCCTCTTTTATAATACCCCAGAGGTATAATACTCCCTCTTTATTACCCCAGAGGTATAATACTCCCTCTTTAATACCCCAGAGGTATAATACTCCCTCTTTATTACCCCACAGAGGTATAATACTCCCTCTTTATTACCCCAGAGGTATAATACTCCCTCTTTAAATTACCCCACAGAGGTATAATACTCCCTAAAACCCCACAGAGGTATAATACTCCCTAATACCCCACAGAGGTATAATACTCCCTCTTTATTACCCCAGAGGTATAATACTCCCTCTTTATTACCCCAGAGGTATAATACTCCCTCTTTATTACCCCAGAGGTATAATACTCCCTCTTAAATACCCCAGAGGTATAATACTCCCTCTTTATTACCCCAGAGGTATAATACTCCCTCTTTATTACCCCAGAGGTATAATACTCCCTCTTTATTACCCCACAGAGGTATAATACTCCCTAAAACCCCACAGAGGTATAATACTCCCTAAAACCCCACAGAGGTATAATACTCCCTCTTTATTACCCCAGAGGTATAATACTCCCTCTTTATTACCCCAGAGGTATAATACTCCCTCTTTATTACCCCAGAGGTATAATACTCCCTCTTTATTACCCCACAGAGGTATAATACTCCCTCTTTATTACCCCGCCCGTGGTCACCTGCTGCAGGTCGTCTCCTTGACCACGCCTCCTCAGGTATCTGACCAACGGCCTGACGTCGCTCGAACGTTTCCCCATCAGTTTTAAGACTCAGTTCTCGGGCCACTGCTTCCATCACGTGGTCCTGGGCGTTTTCTGTAACGGCAGGTACGGCTCGCTGGGCATGAGCCGCCGACAGGACCTGATGGACAAACCGCTGAGCCACCGGACGCTGGGCGACCTGGTGGGCGAGTTCGAGAGCTCGTACAGGAGATACCAGCACACCATCAAGAAGGTGAGGAGGAACCGCAGGAGCTTTCATGTCTCATTTATTCATGAAAGGTGTAATTCAGACTGTGAGACGCTCCCCGGGGCCGTGGTGCTAACTGTAGGCACTGCTCTGTCCCAGTTTGGAGCCTGTGTCCTCGTCCCAGAAGATTTACACCAGTTTTACACAAGAAATGTCCCAGGTGCCTCCATTTTGGACCAATCAGACCCCTGAAACTAAACAGAGACAAACTGACTTTTGTTTGGGTAAAATCCAGAAAATCTGCTTAAAAACGACAAAACACAAAGAAAATGTGACTAAACTGCAGTGTTGGAGTAACAGATTACATGGACCAGAGTAATCAGAGTACAAATGATGAGTAACTGTATTCAGTTACAGTTACTGTTTCAGTGAGTGGTAATTGGATTACAGTTACTTTGTTGAAATAAATGGATTACACAGAGGACTAAACCAGGTCTAAACCAGGACTAAACCAGGACTGAACCAGGACTAAACCAGGACTAAACCAGGACTAACCAGGACTAAACCAGGACTAAACCAGGACTAAACCAGGTCTAAACCAGGAAAACCAGGTCTGAACCAGGACTAACCAGGACTAAACCAGGACTAAACCAGGACTAAACCAGGACTAAACCAGGACTGAACCAGGACTAAACCAGGTCTGAACCAGGACTAAACCAGGACTAAACCAGGACTAAACCAGGACTAAACCAGGTCTAAACCAGGACTAAACCAGGACTAAACCAGGTCTAACCAGGACTAAACCAGGACTAAACCAGGACTAAACCAGGTCTAAACCAGGACTAAACCAGGACTAAACCAGGACTAAACCAGGTCTAACCAGGACTAAACCAGGACTAAACCAGGACTAAACCAGGACTAAACCAGGTCTGAACCAGGACTAAACCAGGACTAAACCAGGTCTGAACCAGGACTAAACCAGGACTAAACCAGGTCTGAACCAGGACTAAACCAGGACTAAACCAGGACTAAACCAGGTCTAAACCAGGACTAAACCAGGACTAAACCAGGACTAAACCAGGTCTGAACCAGGACTAAACCAGGACTAAACCAGGACTAAACCAGGACTAAACCGGTCTAAATCCTGAACTAGGCTGTGTGGATGTGTCTCCTTTTCTATCAATAATATTTTTAATTTGGTTCAGTAAAATCTGGGTTTTTTATTTTCTTTTATCAGACAAAACTTCTTATGTGAAGATTTCCTCGTCTTTGTTTCTCTACAACAAATCAAGTAATCCAAAGTAATCAGATTACATTACTCACTTTCAGTAATTTAATGGATTACGTTACAAACTACATTCTGGTGTGTGTAATCTGTAATCTGTAGGGGATTACATTTTAAAAGGTAAACTTCCCAACTCTGCTAAAGTGACGAGTGCAGAAGAGTTTTCCTTAATTTCTCACTTCATTCACAATTTTATTTTTAAAAAACCTCCACAAACCGAGTGTCTGAGTGTTTTTATTTTGAAACGTTCACTCTGATCTGGGACGAGGCAGAAAGAAACTAGTGAGAAACTCCTGTCACTTTGTGGATTCTGACGCTGCTTTGTTGTTGTTGTTTTTTTGTCATGACGGTTTTGTGTATTTTGGCAAAACAAATGACACTTTATGCTCCTGTTTACGGTCAAAAAATGTGATTGTCCAGTTTTAGTCCTGGTTTAGTTTTAGTTTAGTCCTGGTTTAGATCAGACTGGTCCAGAATAAAGACCCCTGGGACATTTCTTGTATAAAACTGGGACAAATCAGTGGTTTAGTATAAATCTGCAGGGACTGGGGACACAGGGACCAGACTGGGACGGTCCTGGACAAACAGGGGCGTGTGGTCAAGTGTAAAATCAAACTCCTAAACACTGATCTGATCTGATGGAAAATGTGCTCATTTTTGTGTTTTTTCAGACGATCTTTAAACAATTTGTCCGTGTTTGTTAATGTGTGTAATATCTCACCATGGGAACAGCTGAACTTTCCACCATAGACACACATGTAGAACCCCCACTGCGTGTCGTCACTGTAAATGATCAGTTTGTCTGAGTGTGGGGAGCACCACACCACACTCCCCTGAAGAATCTTCCTTGTCTGATCTTCTGCCTGATCTTCTGTTTGATCTTCTGTCTGATCTTCTGCCTGATCTTCTGTTTGATCTTCTGTCTGATCTTCTGATCTTCTGATCTTCTGTCTGATCTTCTGCCTGATCTTCTGTTTGATCTTCTGTCTGATCTTCTGTCTGATCTTCTGTCTGATCTTCTGTCTGATCTTCTGTCTGATCTTCTGTTTGATCTTCTGTCTGATCTTCTGTCTGATCTTCTGCCTGATCTTCTGTCTGATCTGTCTCTGATCTTCTGATCTTCCTGATCTTCTGTTTGATCTTCTTCTGATCTTTCTGATCTTCTGTGATCTTCCTGATCTTCTGTCTGATGTCTGTCTGATCTTCTTCTGCCTGATCTTCTGTTTGATCTTTCTGTCTGATCTTCTGTTCTGTCTGATCTTCTGTTCTGATCTTCTGTCTGATCTTCTGATCTTCTGATCTTCTGTCCTGATCTTCTGTTTGATCTTCTGTCTGTCTGATCTTCTGTCTGTCTGATCTTCTGATCTTCTGATCTTCTGTCTGATCTTCTGATCTTCTGCCTGATCTTCTGTCTGATCTTCTGTTTGATCTTCTGTCTGATCTTCTGTCTGATCTTCTGTCTGATCTTCTGTCTGATCTTCTGTCTGATCTTCTGTCTGATCTTCTGTCTGATCTTCTGTCTGATCTTCTGTCTGATCTTCTGTCTGATCTTCTGTCTGATCTTCTGTCTGATCTTCTGTCTGATCTTCTGTCTGATCTTCTGTCTGATCTTCTGCCTGATCTTCTGTTCTGATCTTCTGTTTGATCTTCTGATCTTCTGTCTGATCTTCTGATCTTCTGATCTTTCTGATCTTCTGATCTTCTGATCTTCTGATCTTCTGTCTGATCTTCTGCCTGATCTTCTGTCTGATCTTCTGTCTGATCTTCTGTCTGATCTTCTCTGATCTTCTGATCTTCTGTCTGATCTTCTTCTGTTCTGATCTCTGTCTGATCTTCTGTTTGATCTTCTGTCTGTCTGATCTTCTCTGTCTGATCTGATCTTCTGTTTGATCTTCTGTCTGATCTTCTGTCTGATCTTCTGTTTGATCTTCTTCCTGATCTTCTGTTTGATCTTCTGTCTGTCTGATCTCTGCCTGATTCTGATCTTCTGATCTTCTGTCTGATCTTCTGTCTGATCTTCTGTTCTGATCTTCTGTCTGATCTTCTGCCTGATCTTCTGCCTGATCTTCTGTCTGATCTTCTGCTCTGATCTTCTGCCTGATCTTCTGATCTTCTGATCTTCTGTCTGATCTTCTGTTTCCTGCTTGTTCCAGGTGAAGATCGGCCTGTACGTGCCCCACGACCCTCACGTGTTCCAGCCCATCGAGTGGAAACATCTGGTCCTGAACGCGGCGAGACTCGGAGCTCTGGAGATGAGGAAGGAGCTGGAGAAGCACGGCCGAGATATGAGGATGAAGGTACGAGGAGCACACAAAAAAACACAACAAAACCACAAAAAACCCACAAAAATCTGAGGATGAAGGTGCAGAGGAGCAAAGAAACACTAGAAAAACTCTGAAAACATGAGGGACAAAGTTAAAAGTGCTCGGTGTAACTTTTCTGGTGGAGGCTCCATCAAACGCTTGTCTCGTTTGTCTGGAATGTTCCACAGTGAGTTCCACAGTTAAACCTTTCTATCGTCATGGAGACCAAACCAGACAGTGTTCCAGGTCAGATCTGTGGAGAGGCGTCATCCGCTCACTGTCACAATGTCTGTTTTTCTTGGAATTTTTGAGACTTAAAACCAGCTGAAATTAAATCAGCGTAAAGTCGAGCTGTTCTAATGTCACACTGTGGAACATTCCAGACAGAGCAGGTGATGGGCCCCGAACCAGAACAAGTTCCACAGTGCAGCTCTAAGAAAAACACTAGAAGATCATTAAAAAACATGAGGCTGAAGGTCGTCACACAGGAGACACACACCAACATGTCCCAGGAAAAGAGACGTCAGAAGAATCGAAACTCAGGGTTCAGGGTTCAGGGTTCAGGGTTCAGGGTTGGATCTAGAAGCTCTTAGTTGGGTTGGTTTTTATTGGTGTTGGTTGGTGTACGGTTCATTTTTTTGATTGGTGTGTGGTTGGTGTTTGGTTTTGGTTGTTGGTTGGTTTTTGGTTGTTTTTTTGTTTTTGTTTTGGTTTGTTCGTTGGTTTTTGTTCGTTAGTTTGGTTGGTGTTTAGTTGGTTTTGGTTGTTTTGTTTTTTGTTTTGTTTTGTTTTATTTGTTTTGGTTGATGTTTGTTGGTTTTGGTTTGGTGTTTTTTGGTTTTGTTTGGTTTTGGTTGGTGTTTTATTGGTTTTTGGTTGATGTTCGTTGGTTTTGGTTGATGTTGGTTGGTTGTTTGGATTTGGTTGGTGTTTGTTTGGTTTTGGTTGGTATTTTATTGGTTTTGGTTGATGTTCATTGGTTTTGATTGGTGTTTAGTTGGTTTTATTGGTTTTGGTTTGTGTTTAGTTGGTGTTCGTTTGGTTTTGGTTGGTGTCGGTTTTGGTTTTGTTTGTTTTTGGTTGATGTTTTATTGGTTTTGGTTGGTGTTTAGTTGGTTTTGTTTGGTTTTGGTTGGTGTTTGTTTGGTTTTGGTTGGTGTTCGTTGGTTTTGGTTGGTTGTTTTATGTTGGTTTTTGGTTGGTTTTTTGGTTCTTGGTTGGGTGTTCGGTTTTGGTTTTGTTTGTTTTTGGTTGATGTTTTGGTTGATGTTTGTTGGTTTTGTTTGTTTTTTCGTTGGTGTAAAAGCTTCAGTCGCCTTCAGATCTGCACTCGATCAAACGGACCAACACCTGAAAAAAGCTCTGGTCTCGCTCCTGCTTGGGGAACGGTTTATGGATCAGGTGTGAGTCGATGTCCGGCTACTGAAGTTTGAGACGTTTCTTTTTGTCATTTCCGCACTCACCTGGTTTAACGCAGGCTGTGCACTCGTAAACGCTGTGTTCATAAACAAATAATCCGTCCATTTATTCGCTGCATCGTTGTTTAAGCCGCTGAGTTCAAAGTGTGAGAAAAACGTAGAGGCTTATAGTCCGAAAATTACAGTTTTACTATTTAATGTGGAAAATCACAGGAGATCGTCTAAAGAAACAGGCTTTTTATTTTCATTGTGGGATCAGAATCTGTATCGAGTATCGAGTCTGTTCCTCAGTATCAGAATGTGAATTTCATTGAGTGAAGGTTTCTACGTTTACATTTGCTCCTCCACCTCGTCCGTCGCTCTGTGTTCAAACACAAACGGTCGTCGGTTCAGTCCCAGCTCCATATTTGGAGAGTGAATCGTGTAAACAGTTTGAACAGGACGAGGAGGAGGAGGAGGAGGAGGAGGACGAGGAGGAGGAGGAGGACGAGGAGGAGGACGAGGAGGACGAGGACGAGGAGGATGAGGAGGAGAGGAGGACGAGGACGAGGAGGATGAGGATGAGGAGGAGGAGGAGGAGGAGGAGGAGGAGGAGGAGGACGAGGAGGAGGAGGAGGAGGAGGATGTGGATGTGGATGTGGAGTCGACTGTGGGACGCTCACTTCTGCTCTAAACTCTGCACTTTATAAAAACATCACATTCAACAAATAAGCCACTAAACACACGTGTGCCACTCAAAAATACTCACTGCGCTCAAACGTGTAATTCCACCGTCGAGGGAAGAAACAGAAAACAAAACGAGAAACAAAACTGATGTTTAAATCCTGGAAAAACAGAGGAGGAATGAAGATGGAGAACGGTACAAATGCACAGAACAGGACGGTACTTATGACGGGTTTTTATGTTTTTCTGATTTTGACACAGTTTAGTGGATAAAACTTGTGATCAATGTGTTTTTATTGTTGGATCACATTATTCCTTGAAAACCTCTGGAATCACAAACATTCCGGTTTATTGAAATAGTTTGTGTGATCCTGAGTTCCTTTAGTTCCTTTAGTTCCTTTAGTTCCTTTAGTTCCTCAGTTCCTCAGTTCCCTCCAGGACACAGCTCCGGTGGGAATGATCTTCTTCCTTCTTTCCAAACGTAACTCCGACTGTCAGGAAACATTCAGGCCACGAGGCTGGAGAACGCGGGACACTGTGGGTTTCAGGTTCAACTCCCAGTCACAGCCTGAAGGATTCTGGGAAAACGTGTCATATTTTAGAGAAGAATCCAGAACATGTTTTACACTACAGAGAGAGAGAGCAGCTTTTACACACAACAAGAGACACAGACACACGGAGGGACCTGACACACACGGGGAGGGACCTGACACACACAGGAGGGACCTGACACACGGGACCTGACACACACGAGGAGGGACCTGACACACACGGGGAGGGACCTGACACACACGGGGAGGGACCTGACACACACGAGGAGGGACCTGACACACACACGGGGAGGGACCTGACACACACGGGGAGGGACCTGACACACACGGGGAGGGACCTGACACACACGAGGAGGGACCTGACACACACGCGGAGGGACCTGACACACATGAGGAGGTCAGACTCTTAATTAAATGCCTCAGATATTTGCTCGTCAGTTTGATTAATTTATTAAAATGTCCATTTTGATTCTATTACATAAATATTAAGCTCTAATAGTGTAAATATACAACTATTTTGTGATGAAAGTGATAGTAGTAGTAGTAGTAGTAGTAGTAGTAGTTGTGGTCGTAGTATAAGTAGTGTAAGTACAGAAGTATGTAGGTCAGTGGTGCAGTTGTCTCTGGGGTGTGTCTGGAGTTTGTTCATATAAATAGTTCGGTCAAACTGAGGCCGAACGAACACAAGACCCTGATCCCCCACTGACCAGAGTGACCAGAGTGTTTGGACGAGGGATGGACGTGATCAGTCGATTAATCGATAATTGATCATTAAGAGTTTCATGGATTCCGTTGATTTGAATGGACAAACTGAATGTATGTGTGTGTGTCGTGACCAAACAGGTGTGTACATGTGTCTCTGCATCAGAAGGAGCGACACACAAACAGTGGGTCAGTCTGTAACGAACCGAAGCACAAATGTGGATTTAACCAGGATTTGTAGAAGAAATTCCACACTTTCCGTTGCGTTGGGACAAGTGTGAGTCCATGTGCACAGTGGATAAAGCAGCACATATGTTTCTGTGTCCAGTGGGAAAAAGTTTTTCCAGGTGAGAGTCGCTCAATGTGGATGACGAGGCCCCGCCCCCCTCCCCCCGTACGCTGTCCTGGTTTTGACAAACACAAATCTGGTCACACTGACCTGTATTCACCTGAGTCATGTCTTTTAATCCAACACAAGTTGAACCACATCAGCGACACAAGAGCTGGAGTTTTATCTTCACTTAGTTTATGTAAATTAGTGATGTGGTTTTAAGTTTTGTTTCTGTGAGATTTGAACAAAACTGAATTAAACACATTATAATGTCAAACAGCTGATGTGGATCTAGAGTCGTTATGTTTATATGTCGTAAAGTTGAATTTATTGATGCAGATTAGTGCAGATAGTAATAATAATGATGATCATTTTAATAGAAAAACGTTAATGATTAATCGATAATCGATTGTTAATTCTTCCGACGATTGATTAAGAAAATTTCATCAGATGCCCGTCCCTGGTTTGGAGTTTACAGTTTTCAGTGTTTAGAGTCTTCGGAGCGTTCGCAGCGTTCAGAGCATTTAGAGCGTTTGGCGTTTTTAGAGCGTTTTAGAGCGTTTAGAGCGTTTAGAGCGTTCAGAGCGTTCAGAGCGTTTAGAGCGTTCAGAGAGTTTAGAGCGTTCAGAGCGTTCAGAGCGTTTAGAGCGTTCAGAGCGTTCAGAGCGTTCAGAGCGTTTCAGAGCGTTCAGAGCGTTCAGAGCGTTCAGAGCGTTAGAGCGTTCAGAGCGTTCAGAGCGTTCAGAGCGTTTAGAGCGTTCAGAGCGTTCAGAGCGTTCAGAGCGTTCAGAGCGTTCAGAGCGTTCAGAGCGTTTAGAGCGTTTCGTTTAGAGCGTTCAGAGAGCGTTTAGAGCGTTCAGAGTGTTTAGAGCGTTTAGAGCGTTAGAGTGTTCAGAGCGTTCAGAGCGTTTAGAGCGTTCAGCGTTTAGAGTTCAGAGTGTTCAGAGTGAGCGTTTAGAGCGTTCAGAGCGTTCAGAGTTTAGAGTGTTTAGAGCGTTTTAGAGCGTTCAGAGTGTTAGAGCGTTTAGAGCGTTCAGAGAGCGTTTAGAGCGTTTAGAGCGTTTAGAGCGTTTAGAGCGTTTAGAGCGTTAGAGCGTTTAGAGCGTTTAGAGCGTTTAGAGCGTTTAGAGCGTTCAGAGCGTTCAGAGCGTTCAGAGAGCGTTAGAGCGTTTTAGAGCGTTTAGAGTTTAGAGTTCAGAGTGTTTTAGAGTGTTCAGAGTGTTTAGAGTGTTTAGAGTGTTCAGAGGTTTAGAGCGTTTCAGAGCGTTCAGAGCGTTTAGAGCGTTTAGAGCGTTTAGAGTGTTCAGAGTGTTCAGAGTGTTTCAGAGA